TAACTCCCCATGGCTTCTCCTTAAGTTACTACCCTCCAGGTGTTCCTTGTGAGGAGGAGTGGAGCAAGCTCCTCCCAAGTAGCCTTGCAGTCCTTCTCTGGGCTTGCCTATGCACCACTCTCGATGTCATTCATATCGGGGACACCTGTGGTGGCCTGAACAGTCTGATAGTGAAAGCAAAGCTCGGGAGGGCTGCAGGCAGCCCTCCCGAGCTCTGTTCTCACTGGCAGAGGCACCATGGGCTGGTCTTTTGCTGTTTCCAGGGCAGCCCCACGGGCCAGATCTAAGCATCCCACAGGCCGGATCTGGGCCCCAGGCCTTGTGTTTGGCAATCCTGATGTAAGGTTACTGTTGAGTCCAAAATGACTGTAGAAGATCAGTGAACTGTTTCAGAAAGCAGTGTCTTGCAAAAAAGATGAAACAACCCATCTGAGTGTCTATTTTTAAAGTCCATTTTTCTCTTTGCAGACAAATCACTTGAGCCGCATTGCCGTGCTTAAGGTTGAGCCAAAGGAGGAAAAGACTAATGATGCCCAATTATGGTGCCCACTTAAGACTAAATTAATAAATCAAATGGGCCTAAAAACATTTCTAGAGATCAGGGATAATAGAGCTTTTCTTATAAATGGAATGTGCTTAAAGCATGCAAATGTTTTTCTCTTAGCTCTAAAGTTGGGAAAACTCTAATTTTTGCCATAGAAGCTTTCAATTTGTGAACATTTCTCTAACCGCCAACTGTGTTAAGGTGGGCGAAAGAGGGGGAAAAAACCTTTACAGAGATGTTGTATTAACCTATTATCTAATCAAAAAGGAAAACCAAATTGTACAGTTGGTGTGCAGCAACTTTAAAATCATTTCCACTGGGTAGGGAGTAAGACATGGAATCGGTACTTTTGTTTTTCCTCCAAGGAAAATTTCTTTCCTGAGCTTGCATTTACTTTAGAAAGAAGAGAGTCTGTTTATTGATGCCAGGAAGAAGATCCTGCCAGTCAGATAAAGAAGGTTTTCCTTATGAAGTGCAGTGAGGGGGGGGAAAGACTAAATTACATTTTTGTGCTCACTTGCATTCCTTCAAAGGAGTCATAAACCCTTCCAGTTGATAGTTTGCATTTCAAACAAATGCAACTTTTCCCTTACATTTTTGTACTAAAAAAGATTGCAGCATTGGGAAAGCTTTCTGCCAAAATTTTACCCTGGGCTGTTGTTGTTCTGCGCATCATATCAACTTAATTGTCCTTAATTTTCAGTTTCTTCAATAGGATGTCATCTTGAACAGCCAAGGGGGGTGGGGGGTGAACATAGCTCACGTTAAAGCAGGTAAGCGTTCCCTTCAAAAATGTGTACAAATTGCCAAAGTACAAGTGAAATAATCTAGTCTGACTTTTAAGAACCTGGATTTCCACTTTCAAAATGTATGTTGTCTTGGTTTGGAATCTAGAACTAGGTGCTTGTGTACTATAGCGCCAATATATTCCAGCTTGCTTTCTACTTTATATCATTGTTTTCATTCAGCTGAAACTAATTTTCAACAGTTCTGGAGATGAGGAAATAAAGAATGTTACAGAATAGAAAGCAGAAACCAATGATCAAGCATAGAAATAGGTTTGGAAAGATACCAGCCTAATTCGTATTTGCGATATAGAGTTATTTGATAATGATCTGAACTTGCTTACTAAAGGAAAGCACATCAGATAATTTTTTAACTTTGTTTTCTGCCTTGTAGACACAGATGGTTCTTCAGTTTGCTGGTTGTTTTTTGTGTTTCAGCCAACATGGATTACTTTACTGTGATACTTTTAAAAAAAAATCTTCTGGATGGAGTCATGGTTCTTCTTATGTTTCTAAGTTTTGAGTTGGCGCACAATAATAGGAGTTTTTTTCTGGGACACAGATATGTGCTGTGAAATGTTGAACATGAAGGAAATCCTGTTAGAAATCCTGATGTATAAGCTTAATGGAGAATAGTGTGTGTGTGTGTGTGTGTGTGTGTGTGTCTGTGTCTGTGTGTGTGTGTAATTTGAAGAACCAGTGCTGTGAAGCTTGACAAGTTAGTTGGCTATGCTTTGTGAAGCAGAATTACAGTAGGTTTATGATCTTCAAATCTAAAATTAGATTTTTACCTCATCCTTCTTCCAGTTTTATTTTCATCTGACTTTTTGCAATATCTTTATGGGTGAATACTTTCAACTTCTCTAGGTGTACCCTTCACCGGATACAAATTAAGTACTTAGTATAAAGCCAGCCTCAAATGTATATCTTAAAAGAATAATAATAATAAAAATTCTAGCTCAAGTATGAAGGTTAGAGCTGAACCAGATATCTTTGATTTATGACAGATATGTGTTTGAACTAAGTGATTTTCCTGTATATGGGCAGGGGAATGTATATATCAGGATTTTGAAGGCTTGGAATCTGATAGTTTCTAAAAAAAATCTGCAAAGAATTTGCTAGTGGTAAGATAATAAATTTCATTTATCTACCTTTCAGACACTTTATCTTGGAAAGTATTTCTTTCTAACTTTATTTCATTTCACATTTAAAATAAAAAAGTTCTCAAGGTATTTTAATTTACTGTTCTCAGATAATTTCTGCTCTACATTTGTATCTATTCTAAATTATAGGATGCGCCTCAGCTGACTATTCCTTTCCTGGTTTTATATAATTTTGTTTGAATACCTTATTGATATTTGTGTTAAGGTATTTTATGCAAATAGCATACTTATGTTTATTTTATTTATTAAATAGATTTACATAGCCACTCAATTTACACATGGTAACAAGAAGATTTATATCATCTTGTGTGGATGCATAAATTTTTTAATGATATAAGCTATTGTAGAACACTTTTCTCATACCGTATGTGACTGACATTTGAATTTCAAGGAATCTCTATGCAATGTATAGTCCCAGAATAGCACTGGGATTAAAAAAATAATAATTGCATGCCACTTAAGCAAAGTGGTTGGTGAGAAAGCTGTCATAATAAAAGATGCACAGGGCCAATTGTGAGTTATGCTTGTGGGAAAGCCCTACATGTATTAATCAGTACAAATGATCTGGAGAACTACGTACTGTCTCCAGCTGCAAATTCAAGATTGTTGATCTGGAATCGAGACTTACTGATTCACTAAACTATTACCACTTTGTCATTATTTCTCTGTACCTCGAGGAACAGTAAAATGTTTCACAGATAAAAGCATCCCAAATACATGCCTCAAGATGATGTTGCAAAATTCAATATGGATCGATAACCAGGACCAGAGGTTTAATCTTCCGAGCTTTCAAACTTGTGCTGGAGCCCATCCTCAGGGAACTTCTCTTTAGCAGTTATACTTATAAAATTGGAGGAAGAGGTAAAGAAATAAAATGAAGGATTAGGTACAGAGATATATGCACATACATACCAGGGGTGGGTTCCTGCCAGTTCTAACCTCTTCTATAGAAGAGGTTCCACAAATCTACAGTGCTGTTTAGAACCAGTTCCAGCTCCCTCCCCCCGCCCATCTGCACATCATCAAGATAAAGAGCGAGAGGAGGAATTCTGGGAGTTGAAGTCCACAAGTCTTAAAGCTGTCAAGTTTGAACACCCCTGGGGTTTTTTTTTCTAAAGGGTTAGGGGTGCAAGGGTCTTGTAACTTGACAGCTTTAAGACTTGCAGACTTCAAATACCAGAGTTTCTGAGCCAACATTTTGGTTGCTAAGCAAAAGCATTGTTAAGTGAGTTTCACCACATTTTACAAGTTGGCCACACCCACCCATTCATGTGGCTGGCAAGCCACTCCCATCCGGTCACATGGCTG